TATTTTTGTGTTGGGTTTAGTAGCACACTTAATGTTGTAATAAATCCTTCAATAATTTCTTTTAATTGATTTCTACTTATTGAGTATATTGACATTTTTCCACGATTTGCTGTTAAAAGAGAACTTAGTATACTTGCCATACCAAATGATGCTTCAGAGTCTAAATTTTTTATTTTTTCTTTTAGATCTGATGTTAAACTTATGCCAAGTATTCTTTTTGTTTCGGGGTAGTTTAAAATATTTTTTAGAATATTTACACCATTAGTAGATGGGTTTGTAGTTATTGGAATAAGATCTTCATTTTGTAAAACTTTATACTTTTTACCTTTTGGAAATAACTCTTCATCATTAAGTAGATCTTTTGGGGTTGGTTTTGGGTTTGGAATAATAGTATCTAAATCAATTAAATTTTTTATCTCTTCATCCCCAAAGTCTATTAAATCTTTTTCTTCATTTCCAAAGTCTATTAAATCTTCTGTAAGTTCTAATAGTTCTTGGTTATTATGAGGATTATCAGTAATAGCTAATAGTTTTGGTGTATTTGATTTTTGTTGGTTAAATCTTCTAAAATTTTTATAATAATAAATATAACTATTTATTCTTATTACTTCTTTATAAGTTTTTGCAAGTTGACTTATACTTAATATCATACTCATTTTACCTTTATTAATGCCTTTCTTTCTTGCCTCTATTAATTTATTTATTTGTGATTTTGTAAAGAAAAATATAAATCCTTTTGATTTATCAAATTGGTATAAGGAAATATTTTCTAGAATATATACATCATCAATTTTATTTACTTTTTCTTTTCCAAATTTAATTTCTGCTTTAATAATTTTTTTGACTTTACTTAAATATTTTACTAATACTTTATTTTCTAAATAAATTAATTTTGGATAATAATTTCCTATTTTATCTTTAATGTTAAAATTTTTCATTAAATCATTAGATGTTTTCTTTTTAGAGCCAATTGTATATGTTTTACTGGATGGTTTTTTATAAAGATTAACTTCTTTACTTGGTTTCATTGTCCAATAATTAGCTTTTGGTGGAAAATATATTCCTGGATTATCTTCCCCTTCATTTTCTAATGCTTTAACAATAAGGTTATTCAGTATTATATTATTATTAAGTGTTTGACGGCAAACTTTTTTAAAGTGTAAACCAGAAAATTTAATAATATATTTTTTTTCATTCTTTATTGCGTTTATATTTTCTTTTGCTTTTTCTTTTGTTAGATATATAAGAAAAGGAACTTTATTATAATCATTTTTATATTTATAATTAACATTAATTTCGTAAGAACTAAATATTTTTTCTTCTACACATCTTTTTTCGAAATCCCTTTTTTGTTTAATAGTAAGAAAAGTAATACTTGGTTTATATATTCCTATTTTATTTTTAAATAATTTTTTAAATACTTCTTCTTGAGATGGAGTTAATCGTTTAATACCTAGTATTTTTAACATTATTTATATTTAGTATTAGATTAAGCACGTAGCAATAGTTTTCCTCCTTGCTGTTCGATTTCTGCTATTCTTTCATGTAAGACTAAAGCGTATAAATTGTAATCAGCATTTGGATTAGCAGATAGTTCGTAGTGAAATGCTAATTTTGTAGCTCCATCTTTTATATCCAATTTTTGTTTTGTTAGGTCAAAGTAAACAAACGGGAACAAAGACTCAAAATTTGATCTATTAAGTAGTGTTCCACCTTGAAAGTCGTTATTTGCATAAACGTATGACATTACTTCTCTGAAAACTCTTGCTGGATCTGTATTTGGTTTAAAATGAATATCAGGGTACTCATTTCCATTTCCAACCTCGAGATAACAGCGAGACATTTTAGCATTGTTTGGTAGATTAAAAGTATTGTAAAGAAAAGGATTTGCTGTTTGTGAATCAATATTTGCCGCGTTAATTCCAAAAACTAAAACATGGCGAGGTTTTGAGATTGCATTTGTAATTCTAAAATGACCTGTTTGCTGTTGAGTGTTATTTGATCGTTCTACTACTTCATTGAGGTACACCCATTTGTAGGGCTTAAGATAATTTTCCATGTATAGTTTTTGTCCTTCTGAGTTAAATGTTAATTTTGGAACAAATAGTTGAAATTTTGTTAGTACAACTCTACAAGCATTACCTCCAGTTCTCCAGATAAGATTAGCATCTGATTCTAGTTCTATATTTAGCTCAAGTTTTGTATTTGGAAGAAGTTTGTCCTCAAGAGATTCAAAGAAAGAATATCTGTTAAGAGGAATATCACAACTAATTTCTAATGAGTTACCTATTAGCGCTCTTCTTACTGCAAAACCTTCGTTGAAATTAGAATTATTTCCATCAACAAAATTTCTTGCTTCCCAACCATTACCAAGATCATTAGCTCCATGTTGAACTTGTCTTGTTGTGAACCTAGTTGAATTTGCATTTCTTGTTTTATCAAGATAATAAAATTCATTTGTGCCAATACTCTCAATATATGAAGGATTATACTCAAGCAAATTTTTAATATTAACTACATGATTAGCATAATTGCAACCGTAAACATCTCTACCATTTGCTTCGATAGATAACCTTGTTATGAGAGAATTACTTCCATTTACTATTCCTGCTTGGGGATTATTATTGTTAAAATCAGTTCCATCTAAAAGTTGAACTTTGAATTTTACTGAAAATCGCGCGTTATACCAATCAAAAGGAGTAGTTTCTCCTGTGTTATCAGCAACAAATCTATAATTTGTTTTATTTTGATGAGCATTATTTGCAGGTGTTGCTAAAGCCTGTTCAAGGTCAAAAACAACATCTTCATATCTTTCTAAATATTTTGGATTTCTAAAAGACTTCATTTTATTTTAATAATTATATAATTTTTCTCTTACGTGTTGAACCTCCACTAAGAATAGAAAGCCCATTATCATTTGCTTCTTGTTGAGTGTTTGCATAGGTTCCCCTATTTGGAATTAACTTAACATTTTTATTAAAAGTAACTTTTTTAGTAGGGTTTGCAACTTTTTCTTTAGATAACATTTTAACTATCTTATCACCAGCCTTTTTGCCTACATGTTCACCAGTTTTTGTTGCAGCTGCTGTTACCGCTTTTTGAGCACCCTTTTTAGCAGCTTTTTTCATTGTCTTTCCAAATATTTTTTTACCAACCGATTTAAACATATCCATCATTCCTTCTCCATAAATATGTTGTCTTGTATATCTACCCAATTCAGGGTCAAGTTTCATTTTAAACTCTGATTGTCTCATCATTTTATTTTAATAGTTATATTACATCGAGTGAAGTATCAAAGTCATAAACCAATCTATTCCATTAAAATTTACTGGTCTTCCAAGTGAGTCTGTCACATAGATTCTCATTTCATCAATGTAAAATGTAGATAAAGGACAATACAAAGGTCTTTTAGGCTCAAAAGTAAATGGATAAGACCTTGTAAGATTGTCTGTTGGTACCACAGCAATAGTATTAGTATTTATTCCATTTACAATACTATTAGTTATTACGGTTGTGTTGATATTTAACACATCAATCGAATTTGTGATATTTGGTAGTTTTGATCCATACTCTGTTTTTGTAATAAGTTTCTTTTCAAATCCAATTAGGTCTGCAAATTCTGTTCCTCTCAGATCAAGTTGATAATCACCATCAAGTGATACCAACACTCGATATGTAGATAGTATAAAAGTTAGATTGATTGAATAAGTTTTATTTCCATTTGAATCTGTTGAGTGATGAGACTTTTGAGACATATATTGATGAATGTAATCGTTGATATCTGAGTAGGAATACGCTCCATCTACAAAAGTAATTGTTTGCCAGGTGGATCCATCGTGGGTGTATTTAATTTTGTTATTACCATAATCACTACTAATGTGATACCAAGAGTAAGTCATAGACAGTCGATCAAGAGCAAGTTCATGTTTCTTATCAGGGTTGAGTTTCAAAGATGGATTAAACTTAATAGTAAAATCACCAGGTTTGTTTGTTCCTCTTTTTTCCCTATTTAATGAGGAAATGTGAATAGCTCGTTCTTCCATTTTATTTATTAAGTATATAATTTTTTAGTAAATCATTAAGTTGTTTCTTTGAGATTACTTTCATTTTGTTAAGAAGATGTGCTATACGAGAAAACTCAGGTATTACACCATTATTCCCAGCAAGAATTGAACCACCGAGTAATTCAAGTCTGTCTAGGAGTTGATGTGGGTTGTTAAAGTAAACAATCCCAGAGCCAGATTTTGTTTTATAATACTTAATATTACTTAAATTTGTTGCATATATGCTTAATATGTTATAATTTTTTATGTTATCTAATGTTTCTTCTCGTGGTTTTTTACTTTTTGGTTGAGCTAAAACATAACCGTTTGCGTCTCGTACAAAATCTGCAGTATTTTTTATTCTTGCACTCAACTCTTCTAAATCTTCGTTAACATCATCAATTACTTTATTAATGGTAGAAATATCTTCTTTAAGATACTCAGAAGGGAGTTTGTAATATTCGTTAGTTTTTAGTATATCTTGTGAATCTTTACTATTTAAATATCTATCGAGGTCTTCAGCTTTAAATTTTGCTATTTTTGGTCCCTCATCTGATGTAGAGGGTAAAACTCCATCATCTTCTTTAGGCTCTTCAATTGATTCAAAACCAGGTAATTGAGCCAAATCCCATTTTTTTACCTCATCCATTTTATCAAATCCTTCAGTTATAGCAAGTCTGTTTTGATTAAGACCTTGAGTAAGAGCAAGTTGATTAGCTTTAAGTTGAGCTATAGTTGCGTTTTGCTGCTCATCAATACTTTTTTTAATACTATCTTGGGATTTAATAAGTGGTTTAAATGTCTCTTTAAAACCTTCCCGAGCATCTTGTTTTTGCCATTTTGTTATTTTTATTACATCTCTCACCTGTTTAGTTAAAGTGTCAGCTTCAATTTTATTTCTTGCAAGTTTTTTGTATTCTTCAACATCCATTTTATTTAATGTACATATTAGATAAAATGGAAATACCAAACTATGATAGTGGAGACAATCCAGATAAAAAATATAAACAATTATTTCCTTACATGCCGGCGGATACATTTCGGATGTTAATCTGTGGAAACAGTGGAAGTGGTAAGACTAATCTATTGTACCATATGTTAATCAAACCACTGTTGTATTACGATGAAATTTATCTTTACGCGCGTAATTTAGAACAGGATAAGTATCAAAAGCTAATTCAAAAAATGAGGGAGTTAAGTCATAAATTGGGATATGAAATACTTCATGTAAGTAATGATGAAATAATTCCAGTGACAGAAATGGATTATGAAGACAATCAAAAACTTGTGATATTCGATGACTATGTTTGTGATAAAAACCAGAGACAACTGATTGATTATTTCATTCAAGGACGACATAAGAATTGTTCGGTGGTGTACCTCAGTCAATCGTTTTATAAAACACCAAAGGACATTCGGCTGAATTGTTCTCATTACTGTTTATACGAATTTCCATCATCGAGGGAGTCTAATAGAATATCATCTGAGTTAGGAGTTAGTAAAGAAGATTACCACTCAGCAACTAAAAAACCGTATTCATTTCTATACGTTGATAAACCAAGAAAACGTATTGCAAAAAACTTTACTGGTAATCTAACCAATAATTAAAATGGGAATATTTAACGAACAATCTTCAGATCATCCCTTTGCTAAGGGAATACAAGGAGCACCAGGAGTCGGATTTAATCTAACTTCAAGTGGAGATTATGATATGGTAAATAAAAAACTAAGAAATGTTGGTACACCTAGTGCTAATACTGATGCTGCAACAAAAAAGTATGTTGATGACAATTCCACTGGAACTCCCTCAACATCAAGACTAACAGTTGATTCAAACATTGATATGAAGGATAGATACCGTATTCAAAATCTTATCACACCACAGGATTCTAAAGATCCAGCAACAAAATATTACGTAGACAACACATTTCTTGACAGAGATGGATCTTACCCAATGAAAGGAAATCTAAATATGGACAACAATCGAATATTTAATATACCAGATCTAAATGGTAGTAATCAACCAACACCATTAGCTTTCACAGATTTGAAGTATCTCCACGTTGCTGGAACAAATAAAATGACTAATAATCTAAACATGGATAACAAAGGAATAATTCATTTAAAAACACCAACAGACTCCACAGACGGCGCAACCAAAAAGTATGTGGATGACTCAATACCTGATACTAGTTCTTTTATAAAAAAGGACAGAAGTGTTGCAATGACTAGTAACCTAAATCTTGGAAACAAAAAAATAGTTGATCTTGCAACTCCAACATCAAATACAGATGCTGCAACCAAAAAGTATGTGGATGATAATGCTGAAAGTCCAGATTTAAGTGATTATTTGGAAAAAGATGGTACTGTTGCAATGACTGGAAACTTAAATCTTAACAACAATAAAATAATTAACCTCAGTGATCCCACCACAGATCAACAAGCTGCTAATCGCGGATGGGTTCGTAAACAAATAGAAAGATTTGATCATCATTCTGGAGATGGAATAAGTGGTGTATTTACTATAACAGATCCAGCTGCGCCCACGACTTTGTATCTACAATATATCTCAGGTTCATCATTTGATGATTTTGTTTTTACAACATCAGCACCTGGTCAACCTCTTGTAGGGTGGGCACCAACTGCTAACACATACATTAACAAAATAGAATTTCAATTTGGTTCGCGAAATATAAATGTTGACTTTCTGTGGTTTATTCCCAGAGATAACTCTCTTTCCAATTCTAACTTTTGGGTAAGTGGAAATCGCACTGGCACTTGGTCATTAAATATTCACAAGTCTTGGAATTATAATATGTCAGGAGTAAAACTAAGAACTCATAACAATTCAAATCACACTGCTATCACTTGTCGGCTATTCACTGATCTACCAAAAGCAATAACCAAACCACTTAAGAGAATAGAAATCAACACACCTAAAATTGTAATAAGTGGGGTTGTAAAAGCCGATGTCAACCTTGGTGGTAATAAAATAGAGAATCTGGGTGTACCAACCCAAGACAATGAAGCAGTAAACAAAGGTTATGTCGACAATCTAGTTCATCTTACTGCAGTTCAACCAAGTCATTATAAAGATGAGTTTGCTTATCTCATGTCAAGTGGGGCTCAATGGACTGATGAAACGGATGGAGGGTTTAGTTTTGTTATAACAAAAATAGGAGATTTAGCACCAAACAAAGGAAACTTTCACGACTATAATCACAAAGTAATTTACGCGACTATAGCAAAGAATGGATTTTTACAAAAATATAAGTATAAGATGGGAATTAATTTTTACAGACTAACTGCAAATACTGATTACACGTTGTGTTTGGAAATACTCAACACTGATTATAATCTTTGGAATAATACACAAATAAGTGTTGACAAAGGAACTTCAAAAGGATTATCAATTGGAAATGTAAGTGTAAAAAAACTTTCCCATAGGTATACTGATTCAACAGGGAAAACACAAACTATGTACTACCATAGAATAATAATTAATTTCCGGAAGTTGTCATCTGGAAATAGGTTCTTTCTTCACATTTTGGTTGATATTCTTCAGGGTGGATATAACCTGCGTGCGTATCCGACATTGTTTCATGGAGTTTACATAATTGCTTATGGAATTGAGGGTACATTTAGCAATATCGACCCAGATAAAGTTTACGACTATCACACCGCATTTGATATCAAACCAACAGAAGTAGTGTATAATGTTGATATTAATGCAAATCAAAAAGAAATTAAAAATATCAAACTTGACCGACAAAATGATAATAGTGCTGCAACAGTTGCATTAGTAAAAGAACTAGCTCCTCACACTAAAAATGCTTTGTATAGATTATACTTTAGTGATTTCTATGACTTTGCTGATGCGGATACTTACGGAATAAATATAGGCTCATTTGGAGTTATTATTAATTCTTTGAAACCTAATATAACACTACCAACAAATAAAGACCTAAGTGAAATAACGGAAAAAGGATTACATATTAATGGTTATGATATTACTTTTTCTCCTTCACATTCTTCAAAATCTACTTTATGTATTGTTTTTACTCATTGGAGAAATAGGAGTTTTACCCTAACTAAATATTTATCAACAAACAATAATATTTTAGTAAAATTGGATTATAATAAAACAAACAATAAAGTAACTTTAACTGTCAACAAAGAGTGAGAGAGAGAGTGTTTAAGTAGTTTTCCATTTCTGTAAACATATCATCATACAACTCTAATTCCTCTTTCATAAGATTTTTAACATCTTCTAAAACTTGCATATTAACCCGCCATTTGAATGAAAAATTAATAAGTTTTTCTTCCTTAAGATCTAAATATTTTTTATAAATATCAGGATTATTTTTGCTAGTATATTCTTCAAAAGAGTCTATAAAATTTAATCCTTCTTTGATTAACTTTTGTTCTCTTTTTCTAATTATATCTTCCATTTCTAATTAAATAATTTCTATTCTTTAAATTACTAAAAAGGTTTAAAGAATAAACTTCTTACTATTAAAAACTAATCTAAGTATCTAAATGAGTACTTATTTCCATTTTTCTTTGAAGTAGCTTTTTTAAATTTTCCCTTACAAATTTGGGAAATAATTGAATCAAAAATACCTAATTCAATTGAGGCATTTCTAATAGAAATAAATCTTGTTTCTTTACCAGTATTAATGCAAGTAGAAATAATTGGTTTATTATTTGATTTTCTTTTATTTTTGCATGGTGTCATTAATTGCAAATTTTTAATTCTATTATCATTTCTTACTCCATTTCGATGATCAATCTCCATTATGCTTGGAATCATACCCTTAAATACCTCAAAAACAAAACGATGTTGATAATAATTCTTTTTTTCTTCTAATTTTTCATTACACAAACAAAAAATTAAATAACCATTACCATTATTTTTCTTTTTACTTAAAATTTTTTTTCTTTTTATATTTATAATATTTCCTTTTTTAGAAGCTGCATAATTATTAAATACTGGATGTTTATAGTATTTTTCCCCATTTATTATAACTTTTCTGGATTGTAAATTATCACACATTTTATAATAACCATATTTTCTAATAGAAGGTAATACCTTTGTAAAAACCCATTCTCTAAACATTTTTGCAGCAGGAAGTTTAGATCTAAAAACAAGTTCGTAGAAACCAGCTTCATCAACAAATAAACAATATTTCCCTCTAGTGTCATTTTGTTGACCCCGCGTTTCACGGGGGCAACAAAAAAGAAAAGTTTTTTTATGATTTTCACTTACATGTCTTTTTATAGCATCTTCTGTTTTTTTGTAACCTAATATTTCAGCAACTTCTTTGGCTTTAAACCAAACACAACACTCTTCATCAATGTAAGAATTAAACTTGATTCCAAGATGTCTATTAATGAAATTTTTTTCAATCATCATTTATATATTACTTTAATCTTTTCTTTAAACTATAATTAATTTATTCTAATCATTAAATAGAAAATGATTAGTACAATAGTAGAATATGTTAATCTTTACTTTCCAACTTATAAAACTCCTCTTTACCCAGATAACTATATTAAAGCTTGTTTGGTTTACCAGTTTCTCTACGCAAAGTATTTTACGCAAAAACTAGATATAGATAAAATTATTTACAAACTTATAGAAGTAAGACACTACCTAAATTCTGATTCAAATATAATTACCAACCATCTAATATTCAGTCTCGCTTTTAAAGCTTTCTGGAAACACTACCACATTGGAAGAGGATGTGTATATACAATCGATTCACCTTTCAAAAAATGTGAAATACTTGGTTATCTCACTGGGATAATTTACTGGTGTTTTCATAAAGGAATAATATAATCATTAAATAAAATGGATGAAGTAGTTATAAAGAAAAAAGATGTAGATCGTCTTGCTAAAGAACTACTAAAAGAAATATTTGATTTTTTACATGATGAGTATATACTCAATTATTTTGTAGAAATGAAAATAGAACAACCAAAATTCCTTAATAATCTTGTTTCTAATCATATTGGCACATTACTAAGACAATCTAAAATAACAGAAGAACAAAGAAAAGAATTAGTTAAACCACTCTTAAATAAATTCATTGATGGTAAATTAATATCTAGAGATGAAGAATATTTTTCAAAACTTGTAAAAGATGCTATGAAAGATGATGGTATTGATACAGAAGGAATATATCATACTCTTAATAATTTAAATTTAGATATGGAGGAAATTGATGGTGATTTGTATTTTAAAAAAGAATCATTTTTAGATATTTTTAGAGTATTTGATACTGGGTATACTTATCTAAAATAAGGAGAACCTACGGTTCCCTAACACCCCTCCCTCTCAAATATAAAAGATTAAATTTTATATTTTTAAAATATAAAATTATTTTCCAACTAAACTTTGTATATTAATTGATCCATAACCATCATTTAAATATCTTCTAGCTATTTCTTTTACTTTTTTATCCATTTCTTCTGAACTAAGATTATATCTATTGTCATCCACTTTAGGTTCATTGTAATGAAATCTATATGTTCTATCATAATCTTTTCCATGTACTATTACTCTAGGAACTGGATAAGAATTAAAATAATCATAAACTAAATTAGATTTATCTTCTTTACAAGATTCTAAAAATTCTTTTAATAGTTTATCACTGTGGCAAATATATACTTTTTTATTAATATTATTTCCTATTTCAAATCTATTACATGGATAATATTCTTTTTGAAATATTATTGAGTAAATTTGACTAGGATTAGAAGCCATTTTATTTATTTAATTATTATCTTTAAATTTAAAATTATTTATTTAACCCTTTATAACAATTCCACCATTTTTCATAAATCTCTAAAGTTATAGAACTAATCTTAAGTTTAATAAGTTTATACTTTTCACAACCCATCTCCTCCAAAATTTTTTTGGTTAAATAATTAATATTTATCATTCTCTTTCTAAAGTATTGCTTGTTTAGTGTTTCCATGATATGATTATCTATTTTTGTTAGTTTATCGTAAAGTTCACATTTTTCTTCATCATTTAGGTTTATTCTTTTAGAAATTTCATTTACCTTTTTCTCATAGTGGTATTTCCTATGGTAAATACTCTTTTTTCTATAATGTAACCTATCCAAATCTTTTACATCAAATAATCCTAATACATGGCCGTTTTCTGTACCACATTCATCACAAATTTTGTACCCAGAATCTATTGTAAAAAATTCATTATTTGAACAATTTGAGCAACCACCTTTTACCCTTTTACTACCAACTTTATATTTATGTAGTATACTCATATATTTTTTTATTTCTTCTTCTGTATAAGACATTTATTATTTATACTTTATTTACTTTTAAATTTTTTTTATCTAAAAGCCAAAGTGTTAATATTATCTTTAAGGACTTTTCTTTTATCATCTTCATTACTTAATGCTACTTTATTTACTTCCTTTGAATATATATCATGTTTTTCACTTCTTATTATTTTCATAGATCTCATTTCTTTACTACCTGAAAATAAGCATCTAACATAGTCATCAAAATTTATTTTCTTTTTTACAATATTTTTCTTTATTCCTTTACACTTTCTTACTTCATTTTCCTCCTCAATTTTAAAACTATAAAGTTTGGGACGCAATCCAACAAAATGTGTTATCTGTTTTCCTGCAACTTCATCTTTAAACATTCCAATCACTTTTTTATTAGCTCCTGTAATTATACCAGAAGGGTGGATGGAAGGATAATCAGAAGTATCAAACTTATCTCTTACATCATTAAATATATCAAGATAAAAATCTTTTGTTTTAATCTCATACATTAGAATATCTGTATCTGTAAATAATAATTCTGCTTTTTTACCATATTTCTCTTTAATATATGTGTAATGAAAATTATACATTAGTGTTTTTGATAAATCTAAAATTGCTTGACCAACATACACTGGTTTGTTAAAATACACTTCTGTCCGCTTCATATGAACTGCTATAAGATTTTTATCAAATATTGTCACTCTATCAAAGTTGGGTTTACTTGTTAGCTTGACAGCTTTTTTACGATTATCAACAAGTTCTATATTTTGTCTCTTCCTTATGTTTTCAATTGTCTTTCCAAAAACTGAGTTGTTCATTAGTTTGAAAAAGTCTTTCTCAAAACTGTTAGCTGCTGTTTTTCGAAGTTCTGTATTTTTTCTTATATATGACTCCATCCAAGAAGACTGATAAAATGATATTCCTCTATGAACAGCAGTTATTCTCATACCCAACTCAAGATACTGTCTAAGATTTCGATAATGCACAACATAATTTTTTCGTGGTTTAAAATGACAAATTAGTTTTTCAACACCATTAACAATTATCTTCTCAGGTGCAAGAGGATAGTCATTATGTTTTTCCCATAGGTGTGCAGGATACTCTAACTCAACTTCAAATATATATCCTTTTCTTCCAAGATTCGACATACTATGATTTGTTTTCTCAAGAATATCCATTACCTTTTCTTTTGTAATATTTTTCATCCATTTAAATCCATGTGTTGGAAGATTTTGAGACATCGCCCATCCATAAAGATTGTTTGCATCTAAATACTGAATAAATGTTGACTCCTTTCCAGGATTATAATCTCTCATGTATCTATTATTTGCTTCTGCATATCGCTTTGATATATGTGTTATTCCACCACGTATACCTTGCTCAAACATCATTAACATATCATAATCATGTAGTAACTCTAATTGCTGACCTGTTTCTTTTAAGCATGCATCCCAAGCTAGACCTGGGGAAGTGTAATAATGTGCTGGATCTAATTTGTAATGTTTGAGACAAGTTTTCCTAAAGTTTTCAAATACATCTGCTAGCAGTAATACATCAGATTTCAGATAAAGATTGTGATAATCTCTTATTGTTTTACATTCAAAAGTATTCCACACATTTATTGCATGTTGGTAATCATCATCACTAATATCTTCATCATAAAGTTGGGAGTAAAATTCCTCTTTGGGTGGAAGTTGTGTTTCTGATAATTTATCAAGTGATGAAACATAATCATAAGGATAAACTCCCTTACGAGTTAGTAGATCTACATTTTTCTTGAATACATGTTTTGTATTATGAAAATCTTCTTTTGATAAATTTGAAACAAGATTGGCAAGTGATGTTTGAAGAAACTTGAATGAATCTAAAAATCGTATTTCAAAATTTATTGGACACATTTTTCCAAGTTTTAAACAAAAATACTCACCAACTTTAATACTTTTTGAAAAAGAAATATATTTTTCTTCAGTAGATGGAATACAATTTAAATCTCCTTCTAATCTAGCAATTTGTTTTATAAATAAGTGAGCATCATAACCTTGAAGATTATGAAATATAACTGGTAGTATTCTTGGTTTACGACACATAAGATTACATTTGTTATGTGCTGCTCCACGATAATTACCTGTAAAATGGCAATGATCTCTAACTTTATCATTTCTTAATTCGCGACTACAAATATGACAGTTAACTTCTTTCTCAAATGATTTTTGTTCTTCCTTAGTTAGTCTAAGAGGTTTTGGTCTTTGATAAAAATCATTATAAATTCCTTTAGTTACTTCCGCAAGTTTTTCTACAAATACTTTTGATATATCTTCATCTTCAGAAGTTTTTGTATAAATAATTGGTTTAATTTTTTTATCTACTATTCCCTTTACATAAAAACAAAATCCTGATGGTTCATGTTTTTGATAGTTGTAATTATAAGAGTCTTTTGGATTAGGACTGCAACTATTCATTGGTTTGGTAAAGCATTCAAAATCTGCATAAACTACAAAAGGAATAGGTAGTTTTTTGTAATAATTTTTGAAATATAGCATTGTGTTTGGTTCAGGCATTTTTACAAACGCTGTTGCATTATTACTACAATATTTAATATGATTATCTAATAATTCTTCCTTTGTAAAATGACTAAAACATCTCTTACAAATAAATATTTTACCATTATGACTTGTAGTTTTTTGAGACCTTACTAACCTGTGAAAATTTTTAATAAGAGTATAATGTGAGGCACCATCTTCTTCGTACAAAAATAAATCAATAGTATTTTTACAATCTCTCTTTGCCTCTCTCAAAGGATAAATAACCATTTTACCATCTTCAGAAAAAACATTTATTCCTGGAATATCTGGATTAAGTTTTTCAAATTGAGTGATATTATTTACTTTCATTGGAAAAGTAATTCCTTTAGTGTTAAGTGAAAATTCATACTTTTCTAAATCTTTTATTCTTTCCTCATCTCTATCTCTTGGATGAAGATATCTAAGTATACACCAAAGAAAGCATTTGTCATCTTTATTTTTAATGTTAACAATTGCTTTTTTATTTTTTATCCAAGAAGGAAGATCAATATAAGATGAACCCTTAGTTGGGTTAAACTCAACAGTATGAATTTCAAATTTTACAACTTCTTTAAAAACCCAATTACTTGCTTTTTCTGAATACATTTCCATTCTTGCTAAAATATTTTCTTTACTATTAAATATTAAATTTTCAACATTACTTGATTCTAGATTAGTAAATGTTGGTGAATTAAAATAAGCCTTATCTTCTTGTATATTAAAAAGACCATTATTTTTATCTACTTCATGTTTTTCCATCATGCAAACTAAAACTAACTTAAATTTTATATTTCTATGATAAGTAAAAAAATCAACTAAAGTTTCATTTATACGATCAAAAAAATCAATTGGACCAAGACCAAAAATTCCTTCAATTATATATTTATTTGCAAAACCTGCAAGAGATGATTTTTCTTTTACAAGACCTTGGCCATATTCTCTCATTGCTTGTTCAAGAGCTTTTCTTAAATAGTCCGGAGTATCTCTAGGTATTTCTTTATTTTTTATACATTCCTCAAAATAATCATCAAATGTTTTTATCTTTTTCTTTTTAGAGGTAACTTTCTTTTTCTTATATTTCTTCTTTATATCTACTCCTTTTTTTACTTTTTCATTAAGCTTATCAAGTCTTCTTATATCTCTAATTAATTTTTCTTTTTCACTTAATTCTTTATAACTTTTCTTTATTGTTTTTTTCTTTTGATTTAATATATATCTTAATTGTTCAAGAGATAAACTTTTATATTCATTATCTGTTATAAAGGGTTGAGAACCCTGAAAACCATTAAGCGATTGGTTAGACATGACGTCTTTTAATAAGTAATTATATTAAAAGACGTAAACTTTTAATTTTCAATTTTATTTATTCCTCTTACGTTATAAGTTTAGAAATCATCATAATCACTATAACTATCTGGTAAATTATTAATAATCTTTATTATATCATATTCAAAATCACTATCACTATCGCTATCACTATATATATCACTATCACTATCTTCGTTTTTTATTTGATTATAAATTTTTTTAAATATATCATAGAATTCTATAAAACCAGGATAAGGTCTACCATCACCATAATTACCATAAACAAAAGCATCATAAAGTAGTTTATATAATTCAAAATTTTTATTAATAAGTTTTAAATTTCTAGTAATATCACTTGGTAAAATCATACCACTAATATTCTTTAATTTACCTTTTTCCTGTCCTCTAAGAAAATCTTTCATAATATTCTTAATTCTAACAACTGTTTTACTCTCAAATAATCCATGATTTAATGAATCCAGTTTATTAATAATATACTCAAATTCCTTATTTAATCCTCTTATAAAAAGATATTCTTTCTTATAATTTTCTGCATAATGTGGAATTTTATTATTAGCATTTTCCGTCATTTTTCCGATTAATCCCGTTTGAGGGGGGGTACTAAAACGCGCTACAGATACCATTTTACTAACTACTAGAGAGCGGTGAAGGAAACAGAACAGCATATTGGAATGTCATTTTTATTTTATCCCAGATCCATGGGGTCATTTAATAAAAGCCATCATATCAAGTGACAAACTCTTCACGATAATTTTCTTACCGAAGTTTGACACATGTCCCAGAAAGTTGACTATGTTCGGATGCCTATCTCCTCCCAACGATATTCCCAGCTCGATTTCTTTCTCTAATGATTCTCTCTCTGTGCCAGAACTGTTATCTGAAATTAAATGACACGATATTAATATAACATGACAATGATAACGACAATGAAAATGATAACGATAATGATAACATTATGATAATAATAATGATAATGATGATAAAACGGGGAAAAGTGATTTCTGCCTGTATCTGGCAACAGCTTTTTTCCCACATACTCTCAGTACGTTTAGAGGTCACTCTGGATGATGAAACCTGATAAATCAAGAAAGATGGGTCATGGAATATTACCTAATATATAGATTTAGCCAGGGCTAAAAGCGAAGCTCCTATTAACTCGAATTTATAATTCAAATCAAACAATAAACTTGTATTCCAAAAATCGGTTAACTTTAGAGCACATACATGTGACTTGAGGGAAAGGCTACGTGATTTTAGAGAAAAATAATTTGCAAACAGTCCATCTAAGAGTGAACTTAATCTTACATCGAGTTGATAGCCTTTATATACACACCCAAAAAATAGCAATCATCTTCGATTACATTTAAGAGCCATAATGGCTCTTGATCACAGTAGATTAGGCCTGGAAAACAAATCCGGCCGAATTTTTTGGGTTCGACAAGTTTACTTTAGAAAATCTTGCCAACAAGTCTGGGGACGTGTAAACCAACCTTTTATACTTTTTGTACATCACATCTGAGGTGAAACAGTACCATGAGGAGCCGTTTTCATCGTACAGACCTCGGACAGAGTGCACTAGTGTTTCACAATTTTGCAATACAAATTGCACTCATTCAATATTGAGGACGATCGAAGCACGCGTGGGCTTTTAGCGAAACCGTCAAAAAAATTTCCAAAATCACCTATACGGCTAGCCGGTTCTCACTGTTGAAAAGTCGACTGTTTAAATTAAGATTAATATAGTTATACGCTTCAACACAATAAAGAATTTATTATGTTTATTTTTTATTTAATGATTTTATAACGATCTGTAATCCTCAAAAGCGTTTGATACGCGCGGCATTTTGACTACTCCTGCAAGCGATGTTCATGAGCGACTGAAAACAAACGGCACAGCGATTAAAATTGCAAAGAGACTACTAACAATCAATAAAAGGAAAATAATTCGGTGAAACTTATACAGAGACAACAATTTTCATCCACGAAGACAAGTATTAAAGTCTCTCTGAAAATCCTTGTTTACGTTTTAAGCCGGCTTCCCGGTGTTTGTTTTTTTCAAAGATGAACTCGAGGCAAGAAAATCGCTCAAAGCTTTCTTTTACAGCCAGAATTATAACCAAATATTATTTGGAACATTTTCTTTCTATTTGCGGTGAGAAAATGTCTAAAGGCTTTTTAAAGTTCCATAAGCTTATAATCAAACCTGATGCTCGGTCACTCTCGGTCAGATCATTGTCTCAAATCTTACAAACGTGCGTAAACCAAATAGCCGCGTAAACTACGCTCGACTTCATTAAATTAGATATAAAAAACAAACACCAAATACAATAATTACTCAGACTTACCTTTCGAGATGCACTGAAAACTATCAAGTAAGGCAAGAATCGCTTCAGACTTTTCAACTGTCTTACGCATCAAGCAAGGTGAAAAACGAAAACGATGTAATCCGAAATCGGACTTCCGACTTTGCCAAAGCGACGTATTTCTCAACCAAAAACCCCATAAACAAACTAGCCATGAATAACAGAAGACTCCTGATAGCAGCTGAATTTCACTTTGTACATTCAGTGGAAAAAGACAGTTAAAAACATCACAAGTTAAACAAAACTCTGTCAGCTTCAGCTGTCAAAGTAAACAAATTTCAAGATGCTGCATAAATTTTCCGCGTGAACTCACCTGTCAAATTTTGACCAATCAGAGTATAAAAATTGGACGTAGAGCGTGACCAACGCGTGACCTTGGTGAGAAAAGTCAAAAGCAACTGGCATGTCTTCCCTGCCTGTAAAAACTGGCTTAACTTTTAGCTTCCGAGGTCAGTTTGAAATCAAAATTTTAATTGTGCGGCACATATAAAACACAACATATTTCATATGAATTAAAAAAAAATTAAACTTGAGCCTGCAATCATTTGAAAACTAGTAACTTGTCAGCGGATAACTTAAAAAAGATACTCGACCTCGATACTCGATACCTGACCGTATCGCGGGGTCAGGTGATACTGGTCAGAGGATACCCTGTTTTGACAGCTGTCAATTGGTCACAACATTGATGTGCATATGTCTGCAATATCAGTCTTCCTGTGCTCCCAAACTAGCTAGAAAGTGTGAGATTGAACATTGGTTGCCCTGTGGTGCGGACGGACGGGCGGGCGGTGTACGGTCACGTGATTACCAAATTTTCTGAGATGGGTAGATTAACTTACGCATGGTGCTCCGCAGGCGCGCTTCGCGCGCCAGAGCTCCGCTACAAAATTACAAAATGGGGATTTTTTTGTTTGTTTTTGATGATCGACCAGTTCTTTCGGCAATGTGTTGTTAGAGCCAATAAAACTTAATGGAATTACATGTGGCTCAGAAACAGTAAAAAGTTTAAGACAGGATTAGACTCAAATTCGTCCCTAGGCTTAGACTAGTACTGCATATTTTTTCTCTATGAAAGACTTAGCGGTACGTTTTTTAACGTGACAAACAAAATTACAGATTCACGAGAAATAAAAAACCTTTATGATTCTTTCGCTGCGTTTTATCAGCCTCCTCCTCAGGCACTTCGTTTTTCGCATAGTAGAGGCGAGCTGGAAACGCGAGTGACTGGTGATGAACCGCAAGGGAACGTGGGAAGGGTACAGACGGCAGGTGAAGCTCCAAACATCTCGCGCGTTGTCTCCTTCCCGCCTTCCTTTGCGCGCACTTTTTTATCGATAGAGAGACGTCTGGGTACGAGGCAGGCGTTATATTGTATGAAGTGCTCTTGTAAAAAGTTAACTAAATTCCACAGGAGACAGATTGGAGATAATGTCTTACGTTTTAATTTCTTTACAGCCACTGTTGTCGCACCAGGGATTCCTTTTAATCCAGTAGCCCTGGCTTTCCACACTTCACCGAATGAACCACTTCCAAGAATGTTTTGTAGATCAATTTGCTTTAAGGACACTTCCCAACGCGATGGAGTCACCGAGAAGTATCTATTAGTATTGTTTGAGCCATTTACCGTGCTAAGGAAAAACAAAAAATTAATTGTTGGTTTTCACATGACGTCACAAAAATTCAAACTACAAAACTATCGATCGTACTGAGATTTTACTTTCATGGTGTATTAGAGCAGCTGAAAACGTATTTTCACACAAATTTTCGCTTCGAAAGGATTCTTGGTTTTGTAATAGAGTACGCTTGAATTTCTAAGCTTTTGCGTGACGCAGCATTTACATGAAGGCCGAGAGAGCTGTCATTTAGGTTTTAAAAGTGACTTTTTTCGACGAATCTTGCTATCTAAACAGTTCAATGCATTAGAAAAAGTATTACTTTAATGTTTATGAGTTCCTCTAGGAGTAAATTCACGCTTTTGTAGCAAAACTCGGTAACAGATATTTCTGTTGGTTTCCGTCCGCCATGTTAGAGCTCATCTGGATGAACTCCAGCATGGTGTCTCCATACAAACGTCTATAAATTTGGGTAAAACATTTCCACGGATATCTCGTATACGAATTATTCCTTCGACCCAAATCTTGGCGAGGGTCTTTGTATATTTACCTCCTTTCATTTCTCAGATTCTGGACTTTATCTGTCGAATGGTTCTGATTTTTGTTTTGATCTATTTTGAATGGCGTGACACTGAAAACCAGCAATAAGCAACAACAATGACCAAGTAGCAAAATAATCTCCTCAGTGATTATTACCTCATTACTGGCTGATCCCCAGTCGTCTCTCGTACCCTCTTCCTAGTGGCGCAGGGATGTGATGGGAAGGAGAAAATTAAAGCGAGGGAGAGTGTCTTTCTCTCCTCTCCCTTCCCATTATCCCCTGCTCCCGCCGTGCGCGTTACACGAAGACGACTGGGGACGAGTCAGACCTTCTTATTAAATGTCCAGCTGCTTCAAATAGACAGGTATAGTATACATTTGAGCAAAGAGAGAAGGGGAGAAA